CCTGGTTTTCCTGTGAATGGGGTGTGGGGTGATGGGGTGGCTATTCACTTGAGCCCCAAAAGAAACCATGACTGATTCAAAAGAAATCAGAACAAGGGGACAAAATAATTGCAGTCTTTTCTTTATTGTCCAATCTAATGAGACCTGAGGAGTGAGAAGCTGAGAGCATGAACATAGGCACAGCCAGGGGCCTGGGCAAAGGCCTGGGCAAGGGCAAACACAGGACAAAATAAAAACTAGCACAAATATGACAAATTGCTGTTTGGACACTTGGCCATTCAGTAATTTGACATCAAATGGATTTAGTTTCATAGAACTGGCTTTTAGTATATTAATCTAGAACTATTTGATATGTATTCACTACATGCATGTATCCGCTGTCTCTTGTTGCAAGGGCTTAGGGAGCAGCACAAGGAAATGGGGATGATAAACAGGGCTCACTTCATGGTTGTGCAACTTGTATAGTCACCCAGGGCCCCACACTCAGAAGAACCTCATGTGTAGTAAGTCTATGTGCTCACTGTCTTGAAATTTTTTTTTTTTTTTTTAACCAGGGACCTCACATTTTTTCATAGAACTGGCTTTTAGTATATTAATCTAGAACTATTTGATATGTATTCACTACATGCATGTATCCGCTGTCTCTTGTTGCAAGGGCTTAGGGAGCAGCACAAGGAAATGGGGATGATAAACAGGGCTCACTTCATGGTTGTGCAACTTGTATAGTCACCCAGGGCCCCACACTCAGAAGAACCTCATGTGTAGTAAGTCTATGTGCTCACTGTCTTGAATTCTTTTTTTTTTTTTTTTAACCAGGGACCTCACATTTTTATTTTTCACTAAGCCCTGCAAATTACATAGCCAGCCCTGAGTGCTAGAGTGGTAAGGCCAATGGCCACTCACTGAGTTTTGGCAACCTAATGGCTCATGAAGGCTCCCATCCAAAGGATAAATAAATGCCCCAGAGGCACCATATGCAGCTGGAGATGTGTTGAGTGGAAGTGGTGACTGAGACACCAAGGCATCCATCAGGAAGTATTTGAGGGCTATTGTAATAATACCACACATCTATTTCTCACTTACTGTATACCAGGCACTGGGTAAGCCCTTTGCATATATTATTAAATTAATTCCTAATTATAAGCATTATGCTATACTAGATGCTGCGGGAAAACCAGAAATTCTTTTTTTAAATCCTCTTTTTCAGGGAGGAGCTTAATGTCTAGTTGGATAGAGACATATAAGCAGTAGAGAAACTGAAAATGCAGCATGAGTTTAAGTGCCAAAGGCATAACAGGTCAGAGCAATAATGCTATTGGAATTCAGAGAAGGGAGCTCCATTGAATTGGGGTAGTCAGAGAAAATTTCTTGAAGGAACTGAGGCTTGAGATGGGTCTTGAGTAAAGATAAATCCTAGATACAGGGGTGGTGGTTTCATGAACTTAAAGCAAAGAGACTAGTATGGGAGAGAGGTGGGAAATAGAAACGTACTTAGTGTGACAGGAACGGAGGTAGGATGAGGTTGAACAATCTTACTGAAAACAAGGTACATAGGGTAGGGTGAGAGAAGCAACCAGAGCTTCTGGAAAGAAGGTATGGAAGGCTTCAAATGCCATGATTTAGACTTTATCTATGGATAGTAGGGACAGCAGCAAAGGTTTTGAGCAGCAGAGGAATGGCAGAATGAAGGGGTGTTGGGGGAAGCTGAACCTAATAACAAAGACAGGTGTCATTCAGTGAGGCGAGTGATTCTGGAGCTTCCAGGGCAGAGTTCAAACTCTTTATAAGGTCACCTGGTCAAATTGTGCCCCAAACATTCCCCCAGGACTCCTCCTAAGAGCTACCACTCAAGAGGGCGAAGCGAGAACAATTCCGTCTTCCTCAACCCTCTCTTATCCTCATCCCTTTCCAGCATGGGCCTGTCTGGATCCCAGCTGTTGCCTTAGTGCCTACACAAACACTAATAAGTGCCAGAGCATTGCCATAGAAACCATTGCTTCATCTTTCTCATGGAGTGCTCTGCAGCTGTGAGGCTTCCTGTTCTGGGAAGCTTTTCACAAATATTTGAAGAAAGTGGCAAATGCATCCACTAAGAGTACATGTGTAGGAATGACTGGTGGGGTGGGAGGCTGGAAGGAAGGGGCTATATCATGGTACAGGGTCCAATGGGGAAACAACTCAGCTGTGCGGCCACTGGAAATTAATTATCTTTTAAAGCCACAGTGCTTTCCATTAATAGGCTGGGCTGCTAACCATGTTTTACCTCTTTTCACTATCACTGATTTATTCTCTAAAGCCTGATAGTCGTATTCTCAATCATCCCCCTCAGAAGCCCACCAGCGACACTCTGGACTTCTCTATGGTGCAGCTTAGAATGATGGGGTGAAGGCTGATAGAATCGCATGGAAAACTACAGAGCTGAGAGTTGTAGAGGGGAAAACATCCATAATGATAATAACCAGAAACGAAATCTTAGTTTATTCTTCACAGGGCATTGCGCTAAGTACTTTATGGGGGTTTCCTCATTTAATTCTCACAATATCTTTTGAGGTTGGTCCTATGAGCCTTAAATGGCTAAATGATTTACCTAGACACTCACAGGAAATAAGTCATAGAGGTGGGGGTGTGAACCATGATTTGTCCTACATTCTTAACCATTCTATCACACTGCTTTTCTTTTTTCTTTTGTTAATAATGCTCTTATAGTGAAATATAGTATGCATTAACAAGTGTATAAAAATGTATATGAATTTTCTTAAATAGTTATATTTATCTGCTTCCAGTAATTGATCCACACAATGATGATGAGTTCATGTTTACTAGATACTTAGTTTTTGCCAAGAAGAGTGCTAAATGCTTTACCTATATTCTAGCTTACGTAATTCTCACAACAGCCCAATAAATTAGAGACTTTTATTATCATCTCTATTTTAGAGACGAGCAAATTAAGGCTTGGAGAGGTTAAGTAACTTATCTAATGGAACTTGGTGAAGTAGGGACCCAGGTCTGTCTGATTCCAATGCCACACTGCCATTTGCAGTCACTGAGTAGCATTCTCTCTGGACCTAGGTTGATTCTTCTACTGCACGCAAACCTCTAAACTCTTCTTCTTTAATGGTATCTTGGAAACATTTTTTGTTATGCCTAATTTTCCTGGAGTGATTAAGAACTTCCAAGGGCCCAGCCCTTCTCTATCATGCAGGATGTCCCTCTGGCGTCTCAGGGTCAACAGATGTGTCTCAGCCAAGACATTATAGGAATTATGTGCCTCAGAGGATTCCTTAGCCACAGGGCACCCCATGGGCCTCGCTACTTTAAGGAAATTCATTTACCTATGTGCTCACACCTTGCTTTGCCTTCCTGGTTTGGATTTCAGACAAGTTCAGGACTAGCTACACTAATACTCCATCTCCAATCATTCATGAAGCCACATTTGTGTGGGCTGCAGTCTAGCCTGGTTCTCCAAGTGGAAAATCATCTCTGCCCCAATTCTCCCACTATCCTTTGTCTGTATGGTCTATTAAAGCATCAGCCTGGTCCGCTGAGCTTAGAGTAATGCCTGCACTTTTTCTTCTCTCTCTCTCAGCTCAGCACTAAGCAACTTTGCCTGAAGTATACTTCTTCTGGTCTTTGGTGAGTGGTGGGTGGTGGAGTGTGGATGAATGGATGCTATTTTCTGCCCAAATAAGAAGCTAAATGGCAGATGCAGGTACAGCTAGGTCAGATATAAAACCGGGTTTTATGAGATGAAAATTCCTCTCATTTAATGGCAACAGGAACCTTACAAATGGGAAGACTGTAAATCAGCAGGCAACATCCAGCACATTAATCAAACAATTTCACCAAAAGCCTCTTGTCAATCAGAGTTGTCCAGGATCTGACAAGGGGGCAGAAAGCGAAACTGGCTTTCAGAATAATAGTTTATTTGTGAGCATGGGAAGGGTGGTTGGTTGAGCCTGCCCTTCATATCACTGACTTTCATGGATCAGTTTTAAAATGTCACCCAAGGAAACACAAGCTTAAATCAAAGTGGCATAGAGGAAAGAAAACTCTAAGTTCTGGCTTAACCTGGGTTTATCTTAGGTCTTCTTTACTACTGACTAAGTGGATGACCTACCTTGGGAGGCAAGTCATAGAACTTCTAATAAGGAAGTGATGGTAAAAATACATCTTATCCAATCCTCTCTTGATGCTTGACTATATTTAATACCACCAGCCTCTAATGGCATCCTGGCAGTGACAGAGAACTTGCTACTCATCAAAACATTTCCTCCAGTACTTAGTGAGCTCTCAATTTCATCTATTCTTTTTTATTTAACAAGCACTTATATTACGCTTCACATCTGTCAGATAAAGATCTAAGCAAATCACAAATACTAAAATATTTCATCCTTATAACCCTATTATGTAGATACTATTATTACTCCCATGTTATAGGTGAGAAAACTTAGTGCCAGAAAAGCTAAGATACTCAAAGTCAGACAGCTAGCTAATAAGTGTCAGAGCAGGACTCTGACCCCGGCAATGTGGCTTTTTACTATATGTGCTGAATCACTGCACTGTGCAAAGCTCTTTTATTGGGTTGAAACCTGTTTACCTCTTTGTAACTTGCACAGCTTTGGTTCTAATATTTACTCTTTATGGAGTCCCATAGGCCACATTATATTTAACCTCAGAAAGGCCTTTTCTTAAGTTCAAGGCAGATTAGCACGATGGTAGTATTGCTGGAACAATGATAGGGCTAATACTCAAGCCTAGGTGGGCAGAAAAAAACAGAGCACTTTACTGTCTGAGTACTAGAGCCACAGAAGGAAAGAAACTCCTCCAAGGTCAAAGAGTGAGTTGATGACAGAGTTTGAACTTGAATCTGTATATTTTGACTTCATATCAATGTCCTTTATGATATAGTCCCTGACACTACCTCCATCCTGGACTCCTGCTCCCAATACACACGTTATTATTGTTGATATAATTGTAGCTACCATTCAATGAGTACTTACCTATTCTGTGCCTGATGTTCTGCATACATTATCTCATTTAATCCTCAGAACCACTTCTACCCTGTGGAATAGAAATTACTATTATCTTTATTTTACAGAGATGGAAGTTGAGGCATAAGGAAGTCAAATAATTTGCCAATAGCCAAACAGCTGGTAAGTTGCAGAACTTGGATTTGAACACAGATCTTTCTGTCACTAGAGTCTGGGCTTTTAATGACTATGTTGCAGACCTCCCCATTATATTCACAAGAAACCTTGGGGCATCTTGGCAAATCCTTTGTTTAAAGGAAGGTTATTAGTGTCAAAAACCTATGAATGAATACCTACGGCTATCCTCTTCCTGAGGTAATCAGATAATTCTTTTTTTAAATATTGGGATAGAAGAATTTGAGAGAAAGAAGGTAGTTTGCCTCATAACTCAAGTGATAAGACACAAGTTTATAACTGATAATACATGATTCTTGAAGAAGATTCGTGCTTGCTTTAATTTTACATGAAAGTTTTTCTTAACACCTACTATGTACCAGGTACTATACTAGTAATACAGTAGGACTATGCTGTCTGCTACTTGACAGGCTCGATTTGTTTCTTGCCAGAGTTATGCTGAGTCTCTATGATTAAAGGAAACATAATATTTACTCTACTTCTGCCCCAAACTGAAATATTTGCTTTTTCTTGAGAGGTAAAAACCAAGAAAATACCAGTTTTTGAACAATCAAGGGAGGGATGTGGAAAGATTTAAAAAGCCATCCACACCAACCCAAACCCCAAATGGAAATCCTCTCAATTTTAAAGCGCTTGCAGCAAGCTTAAAAAAAAATCGCCACAAATATGACAGAGGGCTGATAGCCTTCATATAAAGAGTTTACACATTTGTTAAGAAAAATACTAAAACTCTAATGGTTAAATGGGCAAAAGATACAAATAATTTCTAAGGGAGGAAATCTCAATGGCTATTAAATGTATGAAAACTATTCAACCTCACCTAGTAATAAAATAAAAATAAAGCAACTGTGATACAAATTTTGCCCATCAAAGAAACAAATTTTTTTTTAAAAAGAGGACTTAATGCTGGCAAAAGAATGTCCTAGAGGCACTCTTATACATGGCTAGTAGAAACTGGATAAACTTTCTATAAAGAAATTTAGTAGTAAGTATATTAAGCCTACATGTTTTGACCCTTTGACATATAACGGTTTGCTTTGGGCATGTGTGAGGAAGCAGGTATGGTTTAGGCCACAGGCCTACCTACTTACTCAATAGATACTCAGCACACACTACCTTGGACAGTCAATCTTAGCTACGTGTCTCTGGTATCTCAGTTTGGCTCTGGTCTATGTCTAGTGTCACCTCCTGCAGCAACCTTCCACACTGAGTACACTCAAGCAATGGCTACTTAACATCAACGAGCTGATGGAAAAGATGATAAACTATAAATATAATAAGCATAGGCTTTGGTTAGGCTTTCCACTGATGAGTCATTTGGCTTTGAGGGGCTTACTTACTTCTCTGTTTATTGACTAACCTCTGACCTGTAATTTGGGCCTGGTTTTATGAAAGTCTCAAGGTGACTTTGGGGAGAAGCTCTGCCAGCTCCAAATTGTTTGATCTTAAGAAAGCTACTTAACCTCTCTCAGAACTTTGATTTGGTCATCTATTGAATACTTCCTTCATAGGGTTGAAGTGAAAATGGAATGAAATACTCCGTGTAAATAACTTAGCACTGTGTTAAACGCAGTAAGAATAATGAATGAAGGGGGCTAAAACATAATATCTTATAGTTGCACAGCATTTAAAATTCTATTTTTAAAGCATTTTCTATTTTTTTTCTATCTCTCTCTAGGAAAGCCTTAAACATCTAGCGAATAATGTCTCACAGCCATGACCACAACCTCCACCTGCTGGTACACCATACCACTTCCACCCCACTCTCATTCCAGGTGCCATTCAGTCCCCAGCATGGTGTCAGTTACCCACAGTAAAGAACAACAGGTGGTTTGGAAAAATTCAACCTACTGCTTACAACTCCTTGTGGGCATTGCAATGGCTATTTAACAGTGAATAAACAGATTAGGAGATTTACGCAAGTCCCTGTGGAGTAAAGAGTTAAAACAAGAGGCAGAATCTTACCCTTGTTGACCAAAACTACCTATATTAGCATAGCACTGAATGTGTTTCAGGATGTCTTCCTGACATCTCAGTTGAGCCTCCCGACAAGGCTATGAATTCATCAGGACATATATTAACACTGCCAAAGGAAAGACAAGGAAATGAGGTTCAGAGAAGGACAGCCTTACCCAAGGTCATATGGTTAGTTAGCATCAGAGGCAAAATGAGATCCTATGTCTCTTCTATGGTAGTCTAGAGTTCTTTTCACTATACTACAGGTCCTGGCACAGCTGTCAAGGTCAATTTCAAGGAAGTGCAGTACCTCCGACAAGATGCAGAGGTTGTTCTGGGAAAAAGTACATGACTGGTAACAGCAAGCACACCCTTTGTCCTTTTTGTAATGTATTTGCTCTGACCTGGAAAATTGCCAAAGAACTGAAAGAGCAGCATCCATGGAATAATAAAGAGGTTGTATAAAAGATTAGCCAAAGATACTTATGTAAAAATTGGATTTTATACATTGTTAGAAAGGGAGGCTTGGAGAAGTAATCAGTGAAATATTTGGCCACAGTCTCTTGCTTATGGAAGGTGACCCCATTTTTCTGCTTTTAGGATGATTTTTAAAAAATCTCCTCTGGGCTTTTCCTATCTCTCTCTCTCTCTCTCTCTCTCTCTCTCTCTATCTATCTATCTATCTATCTATCTATCTATCTATCTAATCTATCTATCTATCTATCTATCTATCTATCTATCTATCTATCTATCTATCTATGATCTATCTATCTATCTAATCTTCTTAGGGGATATTTTAGCCCTCTGAGTAGGTTACTGTGACCATCTCCCAAGAAATAGGTTAGCCTTCAATTTTAATCTCTAGCTTCCATTCTCATGGGGAAAATAAAGTATAGAAATGAAATATAGAAGGGAAAATTTAAAGTAGAATTGTGTATGCACTTGTATGTGTGTATTTGTGTGTGTGTGTGTGTGTGTGTGTGTGTGCATACAGGGGAAGGAGAGATGAGAAATTGAAATTAAGAAAAAGAGTATCTAGCTCTGCTGGAGTTATGACACTGGGATGGCCTAAGCACAGCAGTCCTCAACCTTTCTGGTACCAGGGATCAGTGCTCCTATGAGAATCTAATGCCTGATGATCTGAGGTGGAGCTAAGACGGTGATGCTAGTGCAGGGCAGCAGCTGCAAATACAGATGAAGCTTCGCTCGCTCACCCACCACTCATCTCTTGCTGTACGACCTGGTTCCTAACAGGCCATGGACTGGTACTGGTCCGCGTCCCAGGGGTTGCGGACCCCTGGCCTAAGGGATGAAATTGTGGAATTATTTTTATCTATGGTATCAAATGGGTACTGGATTTATCGGAGTGATCACTTTGTAAGTTATATAAATGTCTAATCACTGCGTTGTGCACACAAACAGAAAAAGAGTATATAAGATAATGTCCCCTCACATGATTACAAAATAATAATAGCAACAAAATTAATAAGTCACATTTATTGAGATCTTATCATGTGACAATTATCACGATAAATGTTTTATTATCATTATTTTATTTATTCTTTACAACTCTGTAAGGTAGATATTATCATCATTCCCATTTTACAGATGAGCAAATAGCTGCTTAGAGTAATTAAGTAACTAGACCAAAGTCACATAGTGAACATCACAGCTCAGACTGAAACAAAGCATTCAGCTCAACTGCCTATGACTTAAACATTACACTCTATTCTCCTGAATGGATGCAGGTAGATGGACTCCTCTCCCTCCCCCCAAATAAGACAATATTTACTAAGAGCCCCTCAGAATAGCTGTATTATTTGTACTCTGTTTCATCCTTATAGCAGGTATTATTTGTCCCCATCCTATAATAAAGAAAATTTAGGAAAAAGAAGATAAAGAAAATTGTTCAAGGTTCCAAAGCTAACAAACGGCAAAGGCAGAATTAGAAGACAAGATTTCTGACTCCCAGTCCAATGCTCTTTCCATTATACTATGTTTGCTTGACAGCTTCTGACATGGATCCCAGTGTTCCCTCCTCTGGATCCACAGTCATGGAGTATGGGCTGGACCTAGTGACTTGTTTCTAAGGAACAGAATATGGCAAAAGTCATGAGATGCCACTGTAGAGATTAGGTTACTAAAGACTGTTAATCCATTTTGCCGGCACTCTCTCTCTATTGCCTTTTCAGCTTGGACACATTGATGAGTAAACTGCCATACTGGAGAGATCATGTAGCAAAGAACCGAGGGCAGCCTCTGGCCAGCAGCTGGTAAAGAGCTGAGGTCCTCAGTCCAACAACCGGCAAGAAACTGAATCCTCCCAACAACCACATGAGTAAGCTTAAAAGTGGACCCTTTCCCAGTTGAGTCATGCGATGACTACACTCCTGGCCAATACCTTTACTGCAGCCTTGTTAGAGACCTTGCTAAGTTGTGCCTGGAGTTCTGACCCACAGAAACAAAGATAATAAATGTGTTTTGTGTAAAGCCACTAAGTTTTGGGGTAATTTGTTATATAGCAATAGATAACTAACACAATATGATTCCAGCCAGCAGCTTCATTGAACATCTACTTATTCATAGCAAAAGAAATCCATGGCACAACCCTTGAGAGGGATGAGAAAAAAAGATCTAAGTGAGCTTTGTATCTCTAAGAAAGGATTGTGAATCCGAGGATCACCTCTTGGCCTGCTTCAATGTTTCCTCTACCCTGAAGTTCTGATAGCCATGGCCTAAGGTGGTACAGGTAGATTTAGAGCTTCTCATCCTCCACTGGTCACTGATCCCAGCATTTCTCAGTGCTCAACTTGTGTTCAAACCAAGTGGTTGGCAATCTGAGGTCAGCTTCTCCTCACTGTTAGCTTGGGAAGCACCATAAATCCCCTCTAAGGAGTTCCCACTGGGCCCAAGCCAACACACCAGGCTGTCTCCATTCTA